AATCTTTAATACGTAGCGCAATACGTACATTATTTAATTCTTGTAAACTACCTGATCTGGTATTTGTTTTGTCGTTCCTTTCGAAAAGATATATTATTACTTATATAGTCTGTTTATATTTTTTCTTTATCATTACTTTTCTCAATTACCTTAAGCTATTTCAAAGCCAAATTTCTTTCCTTTAATGAAATCTCAACTAAGTCAAGCTTAGTTTCAACTATTTTTACGCTTTGAATTGAAAAACTTAGGTATTCTTATTTTATCCCCGATAAATACTACTTAAAGCTTTGAGGTAAATAAAATCCCTAAATGAATACTTATAATATTCCTGACTTCCCACCTCCTGCTTATAATCAAAATTCAACCGACGATGATCGTATACTAACAACTTCTGAAAATTTTGAATACTCTGCAAAAATCGATAATAATTCTGATAATTTAATATATTCTGAAGAAATTACTATTCATAGGAAAACAAAAAGTATTGAGCGTGTAAATTCTCAAAAACAATTAGTAAGAGGTGATTCTGTTAAAAAATTGAAACAACTTGATAAACTTGAATCTACAAATGTTTATGGTTCAAAACAATCGGCTACAGCTTATGATGATATTGTATCAATGTATTCTGAAAATTTTGCTCCTCATAAGACTGTATCTGCAAGGAGGCTTGATGCTGTTACACGTGTAAATTCTCAAAGAAAACTTGTAAGAGGTGATTCTGATAGAAAATTGCGACAACTTGATAAGCCTGGTCCTGTAAAAGATTATGACTCTGAAAATATTACTCTTCATAGATATGGTTCTACAAAGAAAATTGATGCTATCTCACGTGTAAATTCTCAAAGAAAACTCGTGAGAGGTGATTCTATTAGAAAATTACAACAATTTGATAACCTCGATTCTGAAAATGATTATAATTCAAGTGTAGTTGAAAGACAACCAACTACTGATTATGTATTAAATTCTGAAGAAGTTATACTTCATAGGAACGCTTCTGCAAGTTATCTTGAAGCTGTTACACGTGTAAATTCTCAAAGAAAACTTGAAAGAGGTTATTCTACTAGAAAATTACAACAACTTGATATATACGATCCCGAAAACGATTATGATTCAAGCTTTACAACTGATCCTAATGATATATTAAATTCTGAAGAAATTATATTAAATAGGATTGCATCTATAAGGAAACTTGAAGCTGTGACACGTGCAAATTCACAAAGAAAACTCGCAAACATTGATTCTGTCAATGAATTACAACTCTCTGGTCAGAATAGACCTTTAAGTGTTTATGATTCGAATGTAACTGCGAGGCAACAATCCATAATTTATGAACAATTCCAATCGTGGTTGATTAATGATGGTAAATTATTTCAATTTCAATTTCTACAGTAATATTAATAAATAATTTAAATAATTTAAATAATTTAAACATTTTAAATATTTTAAATATTTTAAATATTTTAAATATTTTAAATATTTTAAATATTTTAAATATTTTAAATATTTAAACCTTTCTTTTTATTTTAATATTATAGGTGCCAAAAAATTATTTTTTGGTGTATGGATATTTCTCCATATCCTTGTATTTTTTATGGCTTTTCTCAATTATCTATTTAATGACGACTTGGAAAATGCACGACAAACTTTTGGGTTAACTTATGTAATTGCACGTTCATCTGCATTGGTTCTACATATTGATGTTGCTATGATTTTATTTCCCGTTTGTCGAAATTTAATTACTTTACTTCGTGCTACTCCTTTAAATGGGATTATTCCCTTTGATAATCATCTTGAATTTCATCAAATTATTGGATGGTCAATTTTATTTTTCACTATAGTTCATGTAGTTTCTCATTGGATTAACTTTTATGAATTATCTAAGGCATCAAATGGTGGTATAGGAATGTGGTTTCAACTTAATTTTGCTTCAGGTCCTGGTGCTACAGGTTATGTAATGTTAATTTGTTTGATAATTATGGTGGTTACTGCGATGGAAAGTAAAAGACGGCGTCATTTTAATCGTTTTTGGTATCTTCATCATCTTTTCATTCCTTTCTTTGGTGCTTGGTCTTTTCATGGAGCATTCTGTATGATTAAACCAGATCGGCCACCTTATTGTAACGATATTGCTGTATTCTGGAAATATTGGATCGCATCTGGTGTAATTTATATTGGTGAACGTATTCTTCGTGAAATACGTGCGCGTCAAAAAACTTTTATTTCAAAAGTTATCATGCATCCTTCACGCGTTGTAGAAGTTCAAATTAAAAAGGAAAATATTGTGACTAAAGCTGGTCAATATATATTTTTATGTTGTCCAGAAGTATCACCTTGGGAATGGCATCCTTTTACTTTAACTTCTGCACCTGAAGAAGATTATATTTCTGTTCATATTCGTGTTGTCGGTGATTTCACTGAAGCTTTGGCTAAAAAACTTGGTTGTGATTTTGAAGAAGAAAATTTTTCAAAAAAAAATAGAGATTGTATAAAAAGTCAAATTGAAGGAATTGATATTTCTGCACTTAAAAAAAATTTACCCAGAATTATGGTTGATGGTCCTTTTGGAAGTGCATCTGAGGATGTGTTCAAATTTGAAATAGCAGTACTTGTTGGAGCAGGCATTGGTGTTACTCCATTCGCAAGCGTTCTTAAAAGTATCTGGTAAGTCGCGAAAATATTAATATTTTTTTTATACTCTTTGATGCTTTGTAAAATCTATTATTTTATAGCTGTTTTCGAAATGGTCATTTCGACAACAGCGATAAAAATATATTTAAAAATACGTTATTTAAAAAATACATTATTTAAAAAATACATTATTTAAAAAATACATTATTTAAAAAATACATTATTTAAAAAATACATTATTTAAAGATATATTTAAAAAATATTTTATTTAAAAATTTATTATTTAGGCATAAAGTCAACTACCCAACAAAATCTACCATGCTTCGAAAAGCATATTTCATTTGGATTTGCCGTGACTGTAATGTGAGGATATATATATTTAATAAATTAATATTATCCAGAACAGAATTTTTTTTTGCTGACGATATTAATGAATTAATAAAAATTTTTTTCTTTAATCAAGTCCCTTGAATGGTTTCACTCATTATTATTAGCTATCGAGGAACAAGATATTAAACAATTTATTGAAATTCGTACTTATTTAACTGGCCGTCTACGTGACTCTGAAGTAAGAAATATATATACGAATGACGGTGGATTAAAAGATACTGTTACAGGTCTTAGATCACCAACACACTACGGGCGTCCTGTGTGGGATAAAATCTTTTCAGAAATGAGAGATCAATATCCAGCTACTGATATAGGTGTTTTCTTTTGTGGGCCAAAACCCATTGGAAAACAGTTGCAAGAGAAATGCAATTTATGGAGTCAAGGTTTTGAAGACGGTACAAGGTTTTTCTATGGAAAAGGTGAGCCTTTTATTTAATATTAATAATTAAATATATAATATATGAATAATCTTACAAACATTGGTATTTTTTTTCTTTTTTTATATATAAAGAAAATTTCTAAGTTTAAAAACGTTAACCAATCAATAATTATTGAACCATATAATGAATAACATTTAATAGAGTAATAAAAATTTAATTTTTTCATAGATACAATAATTATTAATTAATAAACAGCTTAGTTAAAATTTGTTTGTAACAAATTACGCATACATGTATAAATAAATATAAATTATCTTTTTTTTTTTTTTTTTTTTATAAATCATGGAAATCTTTTCCTGCTATTGTAGCTTTAACATAACCATTTCTAATAACGAAATCACCAAATTTTTCACCATTTATTTTTTCTTTTGCATACCGTTCCAAAATCGGTCTCAACTCTTTCAAGATATCATCTTCTTTCAAATTTTCTCTATATAACTTATTCAATCTCTGACCATAAAAACCGCCTCCTAAATATAAATTATACGTTCCTAATGCTTTTCCTACAAAGGCAATTTCTGCTACATAAGGACGAGCACAGCCATTAGGACATCCTGTCATTCTAATTGTGATTGCATCTTGTTTTAAACCCACTTCATTAATAATAATTTCTAATTTACTAACAAGTGTAGGAAGATATCTTTCAGATTCCGCCATTGCTAAACCACATGTTGGTAATGCTACACATGACATGGAATTTAATCGAATTCCAGTATGTTGCAAGTTATCTAACCGATATTTTTTCAATAGTTCTTCAATTTGTGATTTGTCCTTTTGAGTGATATTACTAAGAACAAGATGTTGATTGGGTGTTAATCGGAAATCACCTTTGTGTACTTTGGCGATTTCACGTAACCCAGTTTTAATTTGGGCTCCAGGTGAATCTTTAACAACACCATTTTCAATGTAAATACAAAAGTGCCACTTATTATCAAAACCTTTCGTCCAACCGTATCGATCTGCATTGCTCTCAAAAGTATATTCACGTGGTGATTCAAGATTATATCCTAACCTGTTTTCGACTTCATTGCGGAACCACTCCAAGCTTCTATCATCAATAGTGTATTTGAGACGTGCATGTTTTCTGTTAATTCGATCTCCAAAATCTCTTTGAACTAACATAATTTTTTCACCAACGTCGATGGCTTGATCAGGAGTGCAGAAACCAAGAAGTTCTCCAAGGCGTGGATAAGTCTTTTTGTTATTATGAGTCATTCCCATACCACCACCAACAGTAACGTTATAACCTAATAATTTTTTATTAGTTTTGTCTACAATCGCTATATATCCCAAGTCATGTGCAAACACATCTACATCGTTATTAGGAGGTACTGCGATTGCAACCTTAAATTTACGTGGAAGATATGTCGGACCATATAATGGTTCAAAATCTTGTACAGCATTTCCAGCAACAATTTTATCCTCTAACCAAATTTCATGATATGCCGTTGTTCTAGGAGATAAGTGAGCACTTAACTTTTTGGAAAATTCATGTACTTGTCCATGAACTTCAGAGATGGATGGAGTAGTACTGCACATGACATTACGATTAACATCACCACATGCTGCCAATGTGTCCAATAAACACTTATTAATACCACGGATGGTAGATTTTAAGTTGCGTTTAAGAACACCGTGTAATTGGAATGCTTGTCGAGTTGTTAATTTTAATCCACCATTTGCAAGTGTATCAGCAACCTCATCCATTTGTAACCACTGCTTGGGTGAAGAAACTCCACCGGGAACACGGACACGTACCATAAATGAATAAGCTTTTTCTAACCCTTGTGCTTTTCGTTCATCTCGTAGATCTCTATCATCTTGTTGATAAATTCCATGGAATTTTGTCAATTTTGTATCTCTTTCACATAATGCCCCAGTGGAGGTATCTTCTAAACCTTCGGAGATTGTTCCTCTCAAAAAATTTGAATCAATTTTCATATCATCATCAGTCTTCTTTTTTTCTTCAACAGCAGTACCAAGAAGCTCAACTCCTAAAGCTTTCCAAAGTTCTGGTTCCCATGCTTGAAATCCTGTTTCATATCCATCAGCATCTTGATCGTCACCCAATCCAAGATTCAAAAGTCTTTTTCCGCCCAACATTTCTAAACGAGCATCTAAATCTTTTCCAGGTTTATTATAATAAATTATACCTTCTTCTCTTGGCCAATATTTACTATCACCGAGACCAAAAACAGCGTAATGAGTTTCTGAAAAAGAAAGTTCTGTTGTAGTTGAAATTGTTTTCCAGAATTCACGAGCATTTTGAGGAAATTCTCCCTGACCAGCCGTACAAACAACAAATGCTATATTCTTTTCAGAAGTAATATCCTCAATAGGGTAGTCATCCATTGACATACAACGTGAATTAACACCACGGGCCTTAGCGCCTTTGTGCAGTCTCTTTGCGAGACCTTCTGCATTACCATTGTCAGAACCAAAAAGAATCAAAAGTGGTGGACCTGTTAAACCACCCAATAACTTTTCATATGCAGATATAGCAAATGATTTCTGACGTGATTTGACTTCTGATTCAAGTGAATTTGTTAAAGTTGTAGATAATTCTGGTTTAGAACGTGTTAATTGGGTGAGAATGTTTTCTCTATCAAGGAAATCTTTAAGTTCTTGCTTAATTTTTTCAGAATCCAAGGTAAAAGGTTCTTTGCCTTCCTTTTCTAGCGCTGGATTCCATCTATATAATGACCAATAACCACTATCAACGGCTAGTTTAGTTTCTTTTAATACAGTAATTGAACTATCATTATCACTATAATAAGGCATATACGCCAATACGATTGAAGGTCCTTTAAACTTTTCAGCTTCCATTAGAGAATGTAGAAC